ACATTAAAGTGTCACTGATCTGTTCACTAATTCTCCAAGTTGTAGTGAAAGCTTTGAGATGTAAGCATTTCCCAAAGCTCTGTGGTACAACTTTGATCGGGTACATGGTTTGAATCTTTTGGAATGTTACAAATAAGGGTCCTTTATAGTATAGATGGTACCAGCTTTAAAAGTAACTAATACTCGGGTGAAAACATGATTTGTTTGTAAAGTGGTTGTTTACATATGCAGTTTAGAGTCTGTCCTGTTATTCTGGGGATAGAAGTTGCTTTTGAAAGTCTTGAAGACAGTTTTAAAAAGAAGATTATAAAATACTACTAGTAAATTTAAACAGAATACCCTTTAATTACTGTAAGAGTAACAAGCTTAATAAAATGTCTAAAGATTCTAAAGGTTGATTTCTTTATTATTTTGTTTTGCTGTATTAAGGACAATGCTTCATATGACGTAATTCTACCTTTCAAGCAGGTAGACAGAAGAAAGGCTCACATTTTAAGTTTTATGTTTTTTTTTTAAGATAATGGAGTAGCTGCCACAGGCCTCTGTGATGTGCTGCAGTCATTAAGCAAAGACCCAAACAATCCATTGATCTGCTCTAGGTCAGCAGCCTCATTTCAAGCCTCCTAAAACATCCTGATGGGTCTTTTTTTGCAGAGGCATCAGTGTGGTAGCACAGGCAAGAATGGTATTACTTCCCTTTACATGCCTTTAGGAGAGTACTATCATTTCTTTGAATACTGGTGGGTCTGACTTCCTCACTAGAAGCTTGTATAATCTCTATGATACTAAGGGGATATGACAAGTGGCTTTGACCAAACAGATTGCTGACATATTCCTGTAGCCTCGTGTAGGCATAGGTGGCCCCTAAGGTTCACGTGGCCCCAAAGGCTCACGGGGTAATCTTTGCCAAGATTACCAGGCGAAACAAGGAACTGTAGCCCTCAAGTAGAGGCAATGTTAGGTGCTTGATTCTTCTTCCTAGGCACAAATAACACTTGGAAACCTTCAATTTAAAACTGAAAAAAAAAAAAAAGGAAATCACCATTTTTAAACAATGTCACATTTTAAATATTAATTAAAAATCCTTTACATGTCATTCCTTTTCCTGTTTTTGTTTTCTTTTAATTACTCATTGAAGACAAGCTTACTCTGATATCAGTTTTCAAAAGAAATTGCTGTCTCAGAAGCTCAGTCCATATATTGGTTTGTGGTGATTCTTTACTCAGTTCCTCCATAGGTAAGAAAAAGAGTCACATGGGAAAATTAAGAATTGTTCAATGTCCCACAGAGGGACGGTTGATGCTAGAATTGAGATTTAAACTCAAGTACACAAGCACAGCCCAGGGTTCCCTACAGTGACCTTGTCACCTGTTCCAGGGGGAAAACATAGTTCAAGAGAACACGGCCACAGATTCACAGTGAATTACCTGCTGAGTAATTTACTGTTGGAATCTGTGAGTTTAATGAAGGCTTCTCATCATGGTGGCCCAGAATACAACTGTCCAGATACGCCCACTAGTTTTATCGCAAAACCGTGTGGCTACTGTTTAGCAGTACTCTTTTTTGCATTTATAACAGAACAGAAATATGGAAAAATAATAAGAATTTCTGTTTTTGATGTAACATATATGGTTTATATATTTTTATAATAAAAGTCTCTACCTTTTGTTTCAAGAATTGGAGACGATGCTGCTGCTCTGCTACAGGCATTGTTGGGGAACACATCCTATTTGTGAATAAAAACGTGAAGTGATTGTTTCTTGAATATGTTAGAGACTGACTAAACATTTGGGGACTCACTGTGATGGTAACCTGACCCACTCCAAGGAAAATCAAAGTGTTTCTTTTGCTGGCAAATTATTTCATATAACGTGTGCTATTATGAATGTACACTCATACATCAATATTTTTAGATGTAATAAAATATTCAGATTATCATTGGGTAAGAATTGTAGCATAAATCACTTTTATCTCTGGCATTCTGCATGGTGTGGTTTTTATGCTAAACTTTCTGTGCTGACTATAAGTACAATCATTTTCTCCAATGTAAGGCTTTTAATATGTTAAAATGGAAACAACCTCCATTGGTCTTGATAGTATAAGGATATTTAATATGTGACCATTTTTCATTTTCGGAAAAGAAAACTCACAGCAATATACCTTGAAAAAAATTATTTATAATCACATATGTGTGCTAGGTCTTGCTTCAGCCTGACCAATTTAGAAAATATGACTCTTTCAAATAGAATTTGAAATTCAAACACATTGCCTTTGTGTTCCATATATTATTCTTTATCTGAAATTTATAATAATAAGAGGGTCACTACTGTCCCTGTGAAGTAAATTAGGATCTTTTTATTTCCTGTTTCTTTCATGTGACTATTTATTTCTTAACTAGTGTGTCAAATGTGGTTTAAAATAAAAATTGTGCTATTGCCAATGAAAAATGTGTGGGCAGCTGCTGTGCTGTGGTAATAGCAAAATGTCACAGAGCACTTATTTTCCTCTTGATTTGATGGAGTGGTGATTATGAAAAAAGTTGTAATAAGCAGAATAATGCAGTGGTTAATGTTATAGCAGAATAAAATTTAACTTTGATTTACTGAAAAGATACACATTAATAAGCAACAATTGATTACTATTCACATAACAGCTGTTAGGCATCAAATTATTTTTTTCTACCTTTCACTGTGAGCTAATCAAGATTTTTAGACACAATACAGATTAATGGAAAAATACACTTTTCAAAATTAATGGTAACTTAAATTTAAACAGCAGTTTGATAATGGCCAAAATAATTAGAGCATGAGAAAAGAGTACATATCTGCATAACACTAAATAAATTTGAAGCTGTTTCAATAGCTTTGTTATTCATGAATTTGACTAAAATAGTGTATATTGTGATTATTGGAAGACTATCATATACTACTGAGCTCGAAGTTCAAAATGAACTATGGTTCTTAATATTTTATTATATGTTTCATTAAAGTTACTGGTAATCCAAATTGATTACATCTGCAACATTTGGATTGAAAAAACACATGATGTAAGTGTGCCCCCGTGTGGCTATACATAGTTTGCAAGAACATCAGAAAAAAACAAAATGGAAAGAGGGCCTTAACTGGTTCTATTATCTAGTGAATACCCACTCTATCCCAGGCAGAGGTTGGTTGTCTCTCATGCTTTTAAAGTTATTCTACGTTAGAGGAGTTACAATTTTTCTATAGTTCTTACACATATTTCATTTTTAGTTGCCGTACATGTTAACCAACACATCCGCCTCTGATTCTGAAGTAGTGTTACATAGGAAAAGCCATCAATCAACACAAGAATCTTATTTTTTGTCATATGCATAATTTGATTAATTAAAGCCTGGGTAATTCTCTGCAAGTATTTTAAAATATATTTTGTGATTAAATAGGATAATGGATCAAGTGAAATATTTATATTAGGGCAGGCTCACGGCCTGAAAAAGCGGTTTGCCCATTTGTGTGATGTACATGAAGACTGCTATTTGTTTATAAATTTTGTTAATCAACAAAATATTGTATATCTATAATGTATATTGTAGATGCCACAGAATTTGAAACCCCTTTTCCATAGAGCTTCTTTGTAGAGTTGCCAACATTTTTATTTGACACAAAGATATTACCCAGTTAATACACCTCTTCATTTGACTTTCTAGTCACTAGTCCCACAATGCAAAGACTTATCTATTGACCAGTTAGTTCGTGCTTTTGGAAAAACTCTGGAAGGACTAGTGGGCTAGTTGTTATTGACCCAAGTAAATATAAACCCGCACCAGATCGCTGAGGTAGTGCAGCGTGTCTGCCATCGGACAAATCTTAGAAATGAATGAGTTGGGAGTGTTAAAAATATAAGGCAGACAGGATTTGGGGACATTCTAAGTCAGAAAGAGAAACTTCAAATAACAGGAAAGTATCAGTATAGGCACATTTAAACTTAGAATGACAATGACTACGACTGCTTTTCTGAGACTCTATAAATGCAAGAAACCTAACAGTACAATTAAAAGGTTGAATTTTCAGTTGAAACAGATGTTTCAATTCTAAACAGCTTTAATATTGCTGGTCTCAGTGAGAGTTTCTTCTGGCTAAAGCATAGCTCCCCATATTTTCCATTTTGTTACTTTTTTAAAGTAGCTCAGAATGCTGTGCACCTACTCCAATCATTTTTTATTAAAAATTTAAAACTATATAATCAGAACTAGGCTTAATTTTAAGGAGAATGATCATTAAAGAAAAAAATGCAAACTTTTAAAAATATATTGTCTATTAAACATTCCTCTACTTAATTAAAATTTATTGTTTAGCATAGCAACTGTTTTTTATTTTCAAGAAAATTTTTTTAATTTCAATCACAGGGTTGGAAGAAATTTTTTGTTTGTTTGTTCTGTTTTAATAATCCAAACTTACCTCTAATTTTAGTTAGGTCATTTAATGTATTTTTTAAAGTTCTCAAACAACAATATTCCATAAATAAATATTGATGCCTGTCCATTTTTTTCTGCAAACTGAAATGTGTTATGTATTTTTAAAAACAAATTGAACCATTTTCCCCCCACCCGTTCCACCTAGTTATCTAAAAGAAGAATCTTAAAGGTAAGTGAGAGTCAAAATCTTAAAAAGTTATCTTACTCCTTTCTGGAAAATTCTCTTCATACTCAGGGAGAAGAACAAAGTTAAAGTAGAGTAGGAAAAAAAAAAAGACGAAGCAATGGATGAAATGATAGTATTTATAAGCTTGATTTAAAATCTCATAGCATTGAATGTATCCTAGCAAAATGTTGGATTGTTATCATTTAGACATTGGTTCTTAGCCAGAAAATTTTATTGAGTGTCTGAACTAAATATTTTCACATGCTTTTTTTGGTCCTTGGTATCTCAGTCTCCTTAATAATTTATATTTGGCAAAGAAATTTCAAAATAATTTTTCTTATAACATTTTTTACTTGACAAATTTATTTATAACTCCGTTTGTGTTTTTGAAAATAAATCCAGAGACACTCTAGTCAAGGTAACTTACTGAGCTATCTAAATCAATCTGAGCTACAGATTGGCAAATTGCTAATTTATGTTTCTCTTAACTCTAGTTCTAGACTATAAAAACCTAATTAGCTCTCTTTTCAGGGTAGTTCTAAATCTCATGCCCTGACCTACTATTTTGACCTATACCACCTTCTGCAAGTGTTGAAAGTAAACAATATTGAAACATGTTTAAAAAGTTTATGTTGTAAATGGTACATACTTAAAAAAAGACATCTTCTCTATTCATAAATCATATGCTTTGGTTTGTAAGGCACCAAAATAGCTTTTGAAAAGGAGGCTTTGGCCATTAGCGTGCCATATAACATTTAGAATGAACCACAGAGTACTAACAGAGATGCTTGATGTTTCTCTTCTAAAAAATCTCTAACTACTCACTCTTTCTACTTCTTATCCACAAAACCAAAACGTACTTATGCTAAGACATTGAATTATTTTTTTCTCTCTTGTAGTCTAGAATTGACCACACACCATCAATTATAATAATGTTCCTTGCTGCTGTGGAATAAAACGTGGGAAGTGAGTGGTCCATGGAGAGAGCTCTTGTTCAACCTGAAAGCCTTACATTGTATACTCAGTCATACATGGTCCCTTATTTCCAACCAAATTGGTGCAAAACGGTTATTGAAACCCTCAATTCTAAGGGTAAATTTAGCATTAGTGATACTTTCCAAGGAAACAAAAATTGCATGCATTTCTTTTGCATATATAATTTCCCAATAGCAAGCACATGTATAGTGAACATTTCATTTTGACCGATAAAACACCACATGTATCATCTTTGAATAGTCTCTACAGTACACCCACAGTTACATTATTAACAGAAATGAATGACCCTCAGAATCTAGACAGTGATATGGGTTACCTTGCATTTTTCATTGTTCTATGATTAAAAATGGGCCACAATGCAGAAGTTTATTTCTAAGCAAACTCAGTGTCAGTGATATGTACTGACATAGCATTACCAAAATATATCTGTTTTTAGACCTGAGGACTTCAAAGACACTCTCAACCACAATGTCCCAGAGAAATGGAAAATTATCCAGATATAGGTGACAATACATTAAAACTTTGTGTGAAAATTTTTTGCTTTATAATGCTAGTTATATTTTTAAATAACTTAATATCTATTAAAACTAAACAAATCACATAGCCTCTTTCCTTTTATATCTTGAAAAATGTACATGAGCAAGAATGGAAGAAAAAAGGATAGATTAGAAAAGTCCACAGTCTTTCAGATTCTCTTTGATTATTATATCTGTTACTGCATCAAACACAAACTTGACATTTTGGGTATCTGTAGCGCAGGTCATATGAGAATAAATTTCCTTATCTTCTTTTCTTAAATTCAGATCTAGAAACTGATTCTTGATGTAGTTCCCCGCATCTTCAAATGTATTTGGCCCTTGTTAAAAAAATTAAAGTAGTAAACATTAATTTAATTAAAAATAAAATTATAAATATCAGTAAATTTTAGGATTTTACTTTGTGAGCTGCTATTTGCTGTACCCTGTATTGAAAAATCAATATTGGTAATGGTGAATTATCTGGGATTTACATGACACCTAATTTGTGCTGCGAACTATGCTTACTCACTGAAATGTAACCTCTGCATCAAGAAGCTCACAATACAGTAGAAGTAATAATATATTTATATGTATATGTCATATATATGACATGTCAAAGGCTGTGTGTGTATATGTGTATGTGCGTGTGTGCATGTGCTTTAATATGACTAAATGAAGAATATAAATTATATATGAGTGAACTACAGAATGAATTGGTATTTGAGCTGGACCTTGGGGAATAGTCAGAATAGAGAAGAAAAATAGTATGAGTGAAAAACCAAAAGTGAGAGTGAGAATGGCCTGTAACACTAGACTTGATGATAGGGTTGAGAAGTGAATGTGTACTTTGGAGAATCTGGCCGGATGGAAATCAAAGATTGTTTTTAGAGGAACTGTAGGAAATGAAGTAGAACAGATGGTATGTGCCAGATTACGGACTATGTTGTTAACTAAACAAAGTAGCTGTGATGAGATATGTAAGACTATAGAGAATTATCCCTGACTGATGTTTTAGTAGAGTTAAATAAAAAGCCAGTGAAGGCTGTGTTAAGAAAGATTAGACTAATAGAGGATACACAATGGGTCAATTGGGAAAAAGCAGAAATAAAATATGAAGGCTAATAAATACAGGGCAGCTAAAGTGAGCTGTTGATGGACTTTATAAGAGAATATGCTTAGTAGGGAACTTACACAGGTTAGGACAATAGCACAAAGATTTTCTAAGGAGGTGAGATTTTGTTCCCACTTTATTGTTACTAGGAGAAAAATTCCATGAGGGACAATTTTTAAAACAAAGAACATGGCTAAAATCCAAAATACTGACAACACTAAATGATGACAAAGATGTGGAGCCACAGGAACTGTGGAGTGCTGTTAGGAATGCAAAATGGAACAAGCACATTGGAAGACAGTTTGGCAATTTCTTACAAAACTAAACAATTTCTTCTCATGCAATCCAGAACTTTTGCTCCTGGGTATTTACATAAAAAATCAGGTCCATACAAAAACCAGCACAAGGATGTTTATAGCAGCTTTATTCATGATTGCCCCAAATTGTTAGCAGCCAAGATGTCCTTCAATAGGTAAAATGATAAAGACACTAGTTTGTTTATGAAATAGAATATTATTCAGCAATAAAAAGAAATGAGCTATCATCTTATGAAAAGATATGGAGGACATTTAAATGCTTATTGCATTTCAAATTGAAAAATGAAAGAAGTTAGAAAACGCCACATACTGTATGATTCCAGCTATATGACATTCTGGAAAGGTAAAAACAATGGAAACAGTAAAAAGATCAGTGGTTGCCAGGGATTGGAGGGGAGGGGAGAGGCATGAATGTGTGGAGCACAGGGACTTTTAGGGCAGTGAATCTATCCTGTATAAAGCTGTATTGGTGGCTACATGACATGCATTTGACAAAACCAGTAGAACCATGGAACCATGCAACACAGAGTTAATCCTAATGCAACCTACTGACTGTAGTTAATAATGTATCCATATCTGTTTATCAATTGTAACAATTGGACCACACCCATGCAAGATGCTAATAATAGGGGAACCTAAGGGAGCTGACTAGAGAGAGGGAATATAGAGGAACTGTGTATTTTCTGTTCTAAACTAAAGACTGCTCTAAGAAATAAACTCAAGTTGTTAAAAGAATGTATACAGTCTTTAATTATGAGTCTATATGTAACTTGAAATATTCAATATAGAATAATTATATTTAATCACATGATAAATGTGTGAATATATTAATATTTATAAATGTAGAAGAAAGATATAAGCACAAATCATAGATAAGCACACAGAACTGTTCTGACAGAATGCCATGCCCCTAGTAACACCTGGTCTACCTATGTATATAAATGGTGAAATTGGGCTTGATTCTATGTTTAAATCATAAGTATTTCCATTTTACGCAATTTCAATGGCAACAGAGAATATAATTATTTACAAAAAAAATGTTGCCTCCAAAGAAAAAACAGCCATTCTATAGAACCAGAAATTTATAGTCATTGATTAATAGGGTCAGCACTAAAACTCTAGAACCTAGGAAAACTGTAAAAAGACAGGATGTCACTATTCTCAAATTCATTCATGCTATCTCTCTGGAAAATTAATTCAAGTGTTAAAGAGTCACTGGGATCTAACACAGCAGTACAATTTTTCATTAGGAAATATATTAAAAATTCTAATTTAAAATAAAGCTAACATTCTTATTATAATGTTTAAAATAATAGTTTGCAGCATTGTTTGATATACAAGTATAATAGCAACCCTGGTCTGTCTACCTGCCATTTATTCATTAGAGCTTTGCTTTAATGCAGAGAATGTAGAGAGGGTTTCCTCTTTACTTGTAAGATTCTTTCCAGTTTGGATCATACACATGACTCAACAAAATTATCACAAGCCTCAAATTTATAAATATTACATGTCAAGATTTTCCAGATACAAAAATATATATCCATACAAGAATTTACTACTATGCAATTAAAGGAAAAGTATCTTACCAGTGTACTCTGGAAAGCAGACGCTGAGATGCACTTTGGTTACTTTTTCTTGAAAGAGATCTTTTTTATTGAGAAACAGGACAATGGAGGTGGTTGCAAAGTACTTGTGATTACAGATACTATTGAAGAGGTGAAGGCTTTCATGCATTCTGTTCTGTGTGGTTTAAAAGATGAGAATGTGTAGGATCATTATTTGCAAAATATTCATGTTGGGCATTATAAACAAGGGTCTAGAAATAAAATTTTCTTTGGAAGACCTTAATTGCAATGGAAACTGTGGTAGTAATGTTGGAAACCACAAACTCATATTTTTCACCCTGGCCTTATTTCCCTTTTAGACTTACCACTTCTTCATCTTCCACTAGAACCATGTCATAGGCACTGAGTGCAGCACAAAATATTATGCATGTAACACCTTCAAAGCAGTGAATCCATTTCTTTCTCTCAGATCTCTGTCCGCCTACATCGAACATTCTTTAAAAAAGCAAACATAACATAATAACAAATATTACAAATATCCTCCATAATTCACAGTAAGATTAACATTTAGAGTTATAAATGGATGCTGCCATATCTTTAAAAGTTTTCTTAAAATTTGTATTGATTATAAAATAACTCTTATTGGGCCAATTTGCATCTCCAATTTGCAAGCACTAAAAAAAGAAATTTCATTTTTGTTTTAACTCATGCAGACTAGAATAAGATAATTCACACACTAACTTTGAGCACCTGGGAAATTTAAAGTAGTTTAGAGTTTTAGTAAGAAACTTAGCCTTAGGAGATTTTGATCAAAGTATATGTATAGTCTTAAACTGACAAAATCTACAGAAAGATTGGAAGCTATGATTCATGGCTGTTTTCTAAACTCCACCTGCATTCATTCATTCTTTCACTCAAATAGTTATTTGAACTGATCATGAATTGAAAGAATTAATATGTTAGAATGTTCATGCTACCCAAAGCAGTATCCAGAATCAATGTAATCTCTATCAAAATTCCAATGGTAATTTTCACAGAAATACAGCAAAACATCCTAAAATTAGTAAGGAACCACAAAAGACCCCAATAGCCAAAGCAATTTTGAGAAATAAGAACAAAGTTTGAGGCATCACATTCCCTGATTTCAAACTCTATTACAAAGATATAGTAATTAAAACAGCATAATATTGGCATAAAAACAGACACATAGTCACAAAGAACATAATAGACAGCCCAGAAATAAATCCATTCATACATGGTCAATTAACTTATGACAAAGAAGCCAAGAATATATAATGGGGGAAAGAACAGCCTCTTCAATAAATGGTGTTGGGAAAACTGGATTCATATGAAAAAGAATGAAACTGAACTATAATCTTACCCCATACACAATAATTAACTCAGGATGGATTAAAAACGTTGAGTGTAAGACCTGAAACCATAGAACTCCTAGAAGAAAAATTGGTGGAAAGCTCCTTGACATAGGTCTTGCAAATGACCTTTTAAAAATCTAAAACTGAAAGCAAAAGCAACAAAAGCAGAAATAAACAAATGAGAGTACATTGAATGAAAAAGCTTTTGCACAAAAAAGGAAACCATCTACAATATAAAAAAAGCAACCTACTGAATGGGAAAAATAATTGCAAATCATATATCTGGTAAGGGGTTAACAGTCAAGATAAACAAATCTTACAACTCAATAGCAAAACCAAATAATCCATTTAAAAATGGATGGACTTCTAGTCAAGGTGGTGGAGTAGGTAAACACTGTGCTTGCCTCCTGTTACTACCACGTCAAAATTACAACTAAACTACAGAAGAACCATCACTGAGAATCACCTGGAATCTAGCTGAACTGCAGGGGCACACAGAAGTGCTAACAGAGTGCTTCTCCCACACAGAAGTGCTAACAGAATCTATTGTTTCTTTGTCGAACCCTCTCTCTCCCAGCATGCAGACGCAGGTGGCTGCCATACCTGAGTCTCCATCAACATAGCTAACACCATTTATCCATCCCATCCTGGATTCCTTGAGACCCTGCCCCACCCAACTTTGGGGCACAAGCTGCTTCCAGTGGCTTTTCCATACAAACAGCCTGTCTTGGCTTAAGCTGTGGACTTTCCTAAAATTTGTTAAAGTTCACAAACAAGCAGCATCTGGCTTTGGTGTGTCCTGTACCTCTTGCTGAGCAGTCCCAAGCCCAACATTAGTGGAAGTTGGGTTCAACTTGCAGCTTGGCCTCTCGAGGCACCTACAAGCCCAGTGAAGGTAGCAGCCATCTGCAGATTGCTTTGTGGCTCATGCCAGGTGTTCCCAGGCAGGACATAGGCTGTGGCTGAACTTAGTCTGCAGCAGGGCCCCAGTGCTGGCACCTCCAGTGGCCAGTGTTAGACTGAGCTGGAAAATCACTGGGTCCCCTCCAAGGATGACACATTGAAAGGGCAGACTGGGCAGGCACCAGAGCCCTGCTAAAGTGAATCCTTCTCCATAGGGTCAGTCACTGAACAACAGCTCTACACTGTAGTCATGGCAAGTCCTCAAAACCAATCAGCCTGAGGGTCAATTCCCTCTACTGATGTACAAACAGCAACCAAGTTTCAACTACAACAGGAAGGCACACAGCCAACACAAGGAATATACCTGAAGCATCCAGCTCAGGTGATCAGGGAGACTGTGCCACTAGGTCCCATAGGACACCTATTACATAAAGCACTCTACTAAGACTGGGAGACATAGCTGTCCTACCTAATACAAAGAAACAAACACAGGGAGGCAGCCAAAATGGGGCTACAAAGACCATGTCCCAAATAAAAGAACAGAACAAAGCTCCAGAAAAAGGACTAAACAAAATGGAGACAAGCAATCTACAAGATACAGAGTTGAAAACACTGGTTATAAGGATGCTCAATGATCTCAGGGGGAACTTTAACAAAGAGATGGGCAACATAAAATTGGATAGCAGGTAAGGGGGGGAGGGGGTGGCAGATGAGGGTAAAAGGGATCAAATATATGGTGATGGAAGGAGAACTGACTCTGGGTGGTGAACACACAATGTGATATATAGATGATGTATTACAGAATTTTACACCTGAAACCTTTGTAACTTTACTAACAATTGTCATCCCAATAAATTTTAATTTGAAAAAAATAAAGAAAACTTAAAAAAGAACCAGTCAGAAATAAAGAATATAATAACTAAAATGAAGAATACATTAGAGGGAATCAACAGTAGATTAGATGAAGCAGAGGATCGAATCAATGATTTAGAAGATAAGGTAGCAGGAAACACCAAGTCAGAACAGCAAAAAAAAAAAAAAAAAAGAAGAATCCAAAAAATGAGCATAGTTTAAGGGTCTCTTGGACAATATAAAATGGACCAACATTTGCATCACATGGGTACTGAAAGGAGAAGAGAAAGTGCAAGGAATTGAAAACTGATTTGAAGAAATAATGAGTGAAAACTTCTCTAGCCTGGCAAATAGACATACAAGCCCAGGGACACAGAGAGTCCTAAAGAGAGGAATCCAAAAAGGCCCACAGCAAGACACATCATGATTAAAATGCCAAAGGTTAAAAACAAAGAGAGAACCTTAAAAGCAGCAAGAGAAAAGCAGTCAGTTACCTTCAGGGAGCTCCCATAAGACTGTCAGCTGATTTCTCAACAGAAACTTTCCAGGCCAGAAGGGATTGACATGAAATATTCAAGATCATAAAAAGCAAGGGCCTACAACTAAGATTACTCTACCCAGCAAAGCTATCATTTAGAATTGAAACACAGATAAAGAGATTCCCAAACAAGAAAAAGCTAAAGGAGTTCATCACCACCAATCTAGTATTATAAGAAAAATTAGAGGGATTTCTTTAAGATGAGGCAAAAAAAGACAAAAAATATGAATAATAAAATGACAATAACTATGTATCTACCAACAAGTACTTTCATTGTAAATGGATTCAATGCTCTAATCAAAAGACATAGGAGAGGTGAATGGATAAGAAAACAAGACCCTTATATATGCTACCTGTAAGAGACGTATTTCAGATCAAAAGACTAATAGTAAAGTGATGGGAAAAAGATGAAAATGGAAGTGAAAAAAAAAAAAGCTGGAGTAGCAATACTTATAACCAGACAAATTAGACTGTAAAACAAAAGCTGTAATAAGAGACAATGAAGGACCCAGCAATCCCACTACTGGGTATTTATCCAAAAATCCCAAAATGCTACTTCCAGGGAGAAAATGCTCCTTCACTGCAGCATTATTTGCAATAGCTAAGATGTGTAGTCAGCCTGGGTGTTTGTTGATGGATGAATGGATAAAGAGGAGATGGTACATATATACAATGGAATATTGCTCAGCTAAGGAAGGGAATGGGTTCCTGCTATGTGTGGTGGCATGGATAGACCTGGAGGCCATTGTGCTGAGTGGAGTATGTCAGACAAAGAAAGACAGGTGCAACATGATTTCGCTTATATGTGGAATCTAAAGCACAAAATAAACAAACAAAACAGAACAAACCTATAGAGAACATATTGATGGTTGCCTGATGGGAGGTGGGTTGTGGGGATAGGGAAAAAGGGGAAGGGATTAAGAAGTACAAATTGGTTGTTACACAATAGTCATGGGGTCTTAGGGTATAGCATTAGGAATATAGTTAATATTATTGTAATAACTATGTATAGTGCCAGGAGTGTACTAGAATAGGCAGGGGATCATTTCTTAAATTATATAAATGTAACCTATGCAAATGTAAACTATGCTGTACACTTGAAATTAACATAAAATAATATTGAAAGTCAACTGTAATTGAGAAATTAAAAAGGTGGGTAAAAGGTAAAAGGGAAAAAGAGGTTCAAATTTCCAGTTATAAAACAAGTAAGTCATGGGGCTCTAATATATAGCATAGGAGATATAGTCAATAATATTGTGATAGCATGGTACTATGTCAGATGGCTGCTGGACTTATGGTGATCACTTCTTTAGGTATATAAATATTGAATAACTATGATGTACACCTAAAACTAATATAATATCTTAACTATATTTTAATTTTAAAAAATCTTTAAAAAATGGGCAGAGGTCTACATAGATATTTTTCTATAGAACACAGATGGTCAACAGTTACATGAAAAGATGTTCAACATCATTAATCAGGGAAATGCAAATCAAAACCACAGTGAGCTATTACCTCACACCTGTTAGAAAGGCTGCTGTGAAAAGACAAGGAATAACAAGTGTACGTGAGGATGTGGAGAAAAGGAAGGCCTTTTGCACTGTTGGTGGGAATGTAGGTTGGTGTAGCCAGTATGGAAAACAGTAAGAAGTTTCCTCAAAAAATTAAAAATAGAGATACCATGTGATATAGCAATTTTATTTCTTGTATTTATCAAACAAAATACTAATTTGAAAAAATATATGTATCCCCATGTTCATCGTAGCATTACTTACAATAGCCAAGAAAGATATGGAAGCAACCATTGATAGATGAATATATAACCA